ACATCGGAAACGTCTGTTGCGTCTATATCGCCGACGTCGTCGCAAGGTTTGAACGCAGCCTTTCTACTTCAGCTATCTTCTCCAAAAGAAGGCTATTCCTTCAGTGGACCCCATTCTGAGCATAGCAGTTTGATTACCACTCCAAATTCTAAAAACGGAGGTCAGAACAAAGGAATCAAAAAAATGGGAGCCTGCATTTTACGCATTTTCAGGTGTCAGGTCCGAATAGCGATTGAAATTCACTCTCCTTCCGGTTCGCCAAAGTTTTGGCTCATTTTCCGCAGTGCGAGCATGGGCACTTTATAGTTCAGCACAGTTGTCCATGCTGAAGCGCACCCTTACTGAAGCGAACAGTAGTGTGAACATAGCTTTAGACAAACGCCCGACGCAGTAACGTCCTTGTTGCGGTTCCCTAAAAACAATGGCGCATCTTCTTTTCGACTTAAGTGTGTCTTCAACATCTCAGAAAACACTTACTAGCGCACTTGAGAATAAACCTTGACACTATTGAACTATTCCTATCCCAAAACTCAAAAAAAATTTTCGCTGAAACTTTGTCTATAGATGTTATTCGATGTCCTGATCACGAATATGACATTCATTTCTGGCGCTGGCGCCATTTGGCGCCAACAGGCGCCAACATGGCGCCAACACTTTCCTTCGCCAAAATTTGATGCAAACTCGTATAGCCCGAAGGGTTAGACTCCATGTATCACCGAAATATGGCATTTAATTTTTGAGCAGCTTGGCGGCATTTGGCGCCTAAACATCTTTTCCTTTGCCAAAATCGATAAAAATTGGGCGCTAATAGTGTGTTTTGATTGCGCAGTTAGTCGGCAAAGCCATGGAGCTTTTATTTATTTCTCCATACCAGCGCCACTTAGCGTTCTGCTGAGGCTGAACCTGGGAAAAGGAGTGATTTCCTTCAGGCCAGGCTCAGTCCTAGCAAAGCGCAGATGACCATAGTGTCCTACGTTAGCGTCGGCGCCAAGAATAAATGTCATATGAGGATGTCAAATAACCCCCTACACAAGTTTTCATCGATTTTGGTGGTTCTAGGGTGTTTTGGCGCCGGCGCCTGTGGCGCGGGCGCCAGGCGGTTTTGGCCCAAGCGGATGTGATATTCGTGTTCAGGGGTCAAACTACCCCTGGGGACAAGTTTTCAGCGAATTTGGTGATTTAGGGTATTTTGGCGCCGGGCAGTTTCGGGCGAAGCGGATGTGATATTCGTGTTCAGGAGGTCGAAGTACCCCTACGAGCAAATTTTCAGCCAAATCTGCCCTTGTAGAAAAAGTCGGGTAAAAAACCGGCCTGATTTCGGCAGACTGGGGTAGGCTAGTTCAGTAGTGCCTAAACCTTTTTTCTCGTCATTTCAAAGAAATCAAACTGCTTCCGTACTAGCTGCTCCTTGGGGTTTTTTGTCAAACTTCGGTGTTGCTTTTTGCAATCACAAGCAGTTCCACCGAAAACGCAAGCATTGCAATGGTGTTATTTTGATGGATGACGTTTTTGAACACTCATTTTGTATCGCTGTGCCTTTCAAGCTTTTTCCCGCACCTTCGTTGGAACGGCGGTGATTAAAATTCCAGCAATAAGAGTTGTGAGGTATTCTTTGTTGAGTTGTAACGATTTCATTGAACTGCTGAGGTAAACTGGAAGCATAATAGGTTTCAGGCCTTGTAGTGAAAAAAAGGACAGTTCAGCACGTCGTTTACCGAGAAACCTTTTTCAGGAGTCAATTGTAATTACGAGTATTGAATGCTACAAATTGACAACAAGAGAAAATATTGCAGCCTGACCCCACCCCCACTGATTCCGTGCCTTGGGCCCATGAATTTTCTGAGTAAAAACAAGCTGCACACTCACCGCCATGGATCCTGGTCCTTGTCGTACGTGAGATGAGTGGGATCGCAACTGCGAGACCGAT